TACATTACCAAGGATATTATTACAAGATAAATCATTTGCTTCATTGAACACATACAACAATGCATATTTCAACTGAGATCAGTGACCTTTGATGTGTATCACCAGTGATCAGTCAAGTAGAAACAGTCAAAATATTTTATCAGATTTTTTCAATTTTTGCATGATATTTTCATACAGGACATCTGTTGTTCAAACTCAGGGAAGACTTTATACTGATGAATAAGGTGACCAAGTTTAATAAAGTTTGGAATAGAATTAGTAAAGTTATTATGCACACAATAACAATTATTAACGACGACGACGACAACGACGACAACAACGCCGGACAAAGTTTTTCCCTTAATATACCTTTCCCTTCCATCTTTGATGGTACGGGCAAGGTAAAAATGGTCAATATTTTGGTCATTAAAATATTACTGATCACTATTCTGGCCGATAAAAAATAATGGCCATTATAATGGCCAGAAGTGTTATATTCTGACCAATGAAAAAACAGTGTTAAATTGAAGTGAAGAATTATTATAACCTCCTCACTAACCTATGAATACAAGTAAATATTCAAAAGTTGTGCAAATTAAAACTTTCTGAAACGTGACAGAATTTGGGAAAGTAATCCGGACGCTGTTATATGCTTTAGTGAATGAATCTCAGTAAGTGATTTTGACCTGCCCAGAGTCACTGAGAAAGATGCCCTGCCTTTCAGCACAGGATTGAATATATACATATATACAAGTGTTCCATGTTTACAGCTGTACTTGTTAATTATGTTTATAATGTTGCTGCTATTAATAATTTACTGTCAGTTTTGTTATTTCATGTCTGACCACTGTGCAATGGACATCAACAGATATGGCACCATTGAGGTGAGTCACAAAACAGAAACAATCACAATAAATTTCACCACTGTTGTAATTTGTTTTATCATTTATTTTCCTCTACATGTACATAGTATGACTAGAACTTTACTTTACCCTGTCATAACATGATGTCATTTTATATATCTTTTGCTAAATCATGACAATGATTGAGCAATAACTGAGAAGATATAAAACAAAAATCATACCTATCTACTAGTATTTTAGTCTGGAAACACCAAATCAGTGTGTCTTTCAGAGAAGTGATGTTAATAATAACGCTAAAAGACTACATGTATACTGCAATTCCTAGGAAATCCCTATGTGTCATCTACTAGTTTGTCAGATGCCACATTATTACAAGAATCAAATAGGATTATCAAAATAAGCTGTACACACATAATTTACTATAACTTGTGTGTATCTCAACCAGTGTTTTATACAATAAATAGTATGCAGCATATGACTTACCTGGAAATGAAGAAACTGTGGGTATAATTCCCACTTTAGGATAATTCTGACTAAGATTTGGAATACCGTCCAACTTTTCTGTAGTTAAACACATGTAGATGATGTACGTTGTTCAACCACGATCACAAACTCACAAATAAGTCAGCATCGCTACAAATGAATTAACAGGTGATAATATTAAACAGAAATACCAATGGAATACCTCATTTACTATAACAGCTGAATGATAGGGATCATGCCACGCCTAGTTCGTGTTCATACTACCCGAGTAAAGCACACTCATCGATGACTGTCAGCCAACTATTTAAATAACAATGATTAGACCCTTATCTTCATACATGATATCACAGAAATATTTTAAAGTACAGTCTTAAATGACAAACATCTGCAGTGACAAATTGTATTATGGTTTTAAATTCTTTTGTTTTATTTTGTTATCACCAGTTTTGTATCAGGCAATCTGACTGGAATTCGTCACCCAGCATCACACCCACCAACCTTTCATTATCAATGACCAGTTTTTAGTGACTGGATCTATTAAAAAATCCTTGAATTGGTTCATAAAATTGAAAACAGGTTATCAATATATATATGTGTACTAATAGACTGGTAATGAACTTAGGAAAGTGTAACAGGTAATTAACACACACAAAATGTGCATATGCATACCATTATGAAGGGTCATTGTGCCAACTTTAAACTAAATCAGGCCAGGTATTTCTGACACAAACTGAAAACAATACAGCTTAAACTTAAAATTATGTTGTAAATCTGAAAATAAAATAAAAATTACAAAAGCAAAGACTCCACGAAATAAGTAATATTTTGAAATTATGAATAGTTTAAGAGTTTGTTCATATTTATTTATTTTATCAAGCATTATTCCTTATAATATTATTTTTGTGCTGAATACCGTATATGTTCTATTAGTATTCCATGCACTAATGCAAAATGACAGGAGATGTGTCTATTGTCAAAATAAAATATGTGTTAATGATCCGGCTTATAATAATGCACTTCTATTGTACATAGATGTGTTTGTTAAAAATAAATATGGTATTCAGACAGAGAGAGACATAAATTGATTTACAAACCAGAAACTATATTACAACTGAGATAGTGTAACTACAAACATATCACCGACATACTAAAAACAATGACTACTAGTACACATCAAAACATTTTGTATTTTCACATAATTTTGATGCTCTTTTTCACATAATCACTTTGATATATCTGAAATGTATCTACAACAAATGTACAAAATGTAGATTGCATCAAGGTGGTCGAATTCAATTCATCACAACCCAGTGAGATATTTTACATGTGAAACAAAGCCTGCTTTGTCCTCTACTGTCTTGGTTACGAAACACCTTGCTAGGTTTCTCATATTACAGTTATAACTTGGTTACTGTTGACCTGGCTCTAATCTAAATCAGTCTTTGGAAATGTAACTTAACAACTGAGTAGTGTATAATATGACTGCTTCCATAATCCTAGATAGGAAATAATTTTTTTTGGGGTGGGGTATCACAATATAAAATGCTAGATCAAAAAAATCCCTCACTCCAAATACTGCATACAAGACTACATACATGTATGTATGGTCGTCACTTTAAATGTGAAGCTTGGTGTTTCAATGCACATGTACAAAATATAACTGGGGTAAAGGCTTTCCTAACCGGTCACTGGTAGCATAGTGGTTGTCGCATCAGACTCATGATCAGTAGACCCATGTTCAAATCCTACCTTAGGCTGAACATCAAAAGGGTCAAAAAAGGCTTTCCTATTTTGTTACTGTGTTTGTAATCTGTTCTTATATAAGCACTACATGTATATACAAATGTATCAGCCAATATAGACATACAAATGTATCAGCCAATATAGACATACAAATGTATCAGCCAATATAGACATACAACAATTTTTTACATAATATACATGAAGATGCTATACACTAAATGTTTATAAAAGTCAACAGGCATGCACTACAAGGAATTTCTCTAAAATTAGATATCACATGTGTCAAAAATGTAAAAACATATTGGAACCATGTGAAAATATGTATAAATAAACAGTGAAACAGTCGTAGAAAACAAAATTCAAATATTATTTCAGCCTAACCTGAATGCACACATGCAACTTAGAGTCCACCCATATCAAAAATAATTCGTTATGATCTTTCTGAAGTCTTTGTGTGCAGAGCAGCAAGTAGGATATGACATCAGCTCTTGTGGGAGGGGAGGTCAATTATTACATTCAGAATATAACATCACATATAATGCATGCACATTGTTTAATACCAAAATACTTCATATATTTGTTCAAGTTTGGTTGCTGAGACCGATAGTTTTATGGGTGCATTCTACTATAAGTCAAAACCCCACACTTGAAGTAGCCAGGCCCACAGATTGTGGTTGTTGTTTTATCAGGTCACATCTAAAGCATATTTGCTTTTCAGTTACTCAGCAGGGGAGGGTCCCAATTTATTTTTGATATCATAGATTGATTAGGATTCCTTATTATCATTATATAGGCATACATGTATGTAGAAATGTAGAAATACACTGAAATAACCATGGATGGAAGTTAAAAACAAAATTTACCTGTCAATGACAATTTCTGTCCCATGCACAAAAGTAAATGTCTCTTAAAGTTTTCATACAGGACATGTTCGAGTCAACATTAACACATAGAACACCTGAAAACATGTTCTCATACAGTACATATTCGAGTCAACATTAACATATAGAACACCAGAAAACATGTTCTCATACTAGACATGTTACAGTCAATATTTACCTGTAGAACACCTAAGAACATGTTCTCATACAAGACGTGTTACAGTCAATATTTACCTGTAGAACACCTGAAAACATGTTCTCATACAGGACATGTTACAGTCAATATTTACCTGTAGAACACCTGAAAACATGTTCTCATACAGGACATGTTACAGTCAATATTTACCTGTAGAACACCTGAAAACATGTTCTCATACAGGATATGTTACAGTCAATATTTACCTGTAGAACACCTGAAAACATGTTCTCATACAGAACATGTTACAGTCAATATTTACCTGTAGAACACCTGAAAACATGTTCTCATACAGGATGTGTTACAGTCAATATTTACCTGTAGAACACCTGAAAACATGTTCTCATACAAGACGTGTTACAGTCAACACGTACAGAACACTATTCACTGGTGTGTCTTTAGCACAGTAAAAAATCCTACATTAATAATATCGTGATCTTGGAAAAAATATTACAATAGTTATGAAATTTGTAATTTGGTAAAATGAAATTCCCATTTTAATTGTCTGTATGTAATTTTATAGGTGACTTGAGGCACAATTTTATAGGTGACTTGAGGCACAATTTTATAGGTGACTTGAGGCACAATTTTATAGGTGACTTGAGGCACAATTTTATAGGTGACTTGAGGCACAATTTTAGAGGTGACTTGAGGCACAATTTTATAGGTGACTTGAGGCACAATTTTATAGGTGACTTGAGGCACAATTTTATAGGTGACTTGAGGCACAATTTTATAGGTGACTTGAGGCACAATTTTATAGGTGACTTGAGGCACAATTTTAGAGGTGACTTGAGGCACAATTTTATAGGTGACTTGAGGCACAATTTTATTTTTTTCTTGAAAATCGACCTCAAGCTCCAGTGTAAACAAAGATTCAATTTAGAATTTCTACAGAATCAATCTTCTTCTTCTTAAATGACAAACTGGTTTATGTGAAAGACAACATACAATGGATGAATAGGTAGTAAATTTCTAGAAGTCTAGATTGGCTACTAATTCTGGAAATTAGTATAGTCCATGGGTCAAGTCCATATTTTGCAGATTAGGTATCAACTGTGAGTATTAATTATGTATGGTAATCATTGGAAAGGTATGTGTGCATATATTGGTGGCTGGTTGAATCAGTAACAAGATCAAAATTTGGAGCGTCAAAGTTAATAACCTGTTATTGCTAATTGTAATTTTAGTGGTTATGTCTATACATGTATATGTATTTAATACGCTTATATGGATAATTATATGAGTAGAGTCAATAGACATTTTAGAATAAACTTTGTGGTAATTTGCTTCTTCTGATGTACATAGCTACCTATATTTATTTTAAGATGTGTCCATATGTTTGATTTCAAATATGATTTCACAAATGTCAAAAATGGCTTTAAATTAAGATTGGATCACGTTAAAGGGAATTTATTAGACAGTTTGAAAATATTCTTTATGAACTGGATACGGCTTTTGCGGCCCGAGGTTGTGCGACGGAAGTGCCCGAGCTTGCGTGGGCGCGTAAGCCGTACGACAGAGGGTAGCAAAAGCCGTATCCAGTCCATAAAGGTTTTATCATATACCTTATATGAAAACAAGTCATTGAAAATGACACAGTCCCCGTTAAGTTCTCTTTGTGCTTGTCATATTAAAGCGGAGGGGTTGTCGCGAGCGTGTCCTTGAAACTTGAGTTCCAAGTGGCATATACAACAGATTGTTTATTTACATCAAAACACGTGTTTCGTGTCGTAGTAATATGGCCAAAATAAAAACATCTTTGCGGCCATCTTTGATCTGATTATGAAACACACTGATATGTATGATGTATGTGCCAAATACGAATGAAAATGATACATAAATTGTGGAAATATAGTAGTAAGGCCAAAATATCAGATGGCTGTCAATCGGCCATCCTTGACCAGATTTTGAAATAAATTATCATGGACATGCATCCTAACATGTATAAAGTACATGTATATGTGACAAATTTGAATGAAAACTGACAGAGCACGTCCAAAATACCGCATAAAAAAACAAAAACAGGATGCCTGCCAGTCGACCATCTTTGATCCAATTGCAAAATAAATCGTCATGGACATGTATCCTAACATGTACATTTGTATAATCCATGTACCAAGTTTGAATGACAACTGACAAAGCATGTCCAAAATACATCATTTTCAAAAAACAAGATGGCCGCCAGTCGGGTATTTTGAATCGAATCGCTAAACCACTGCATGTGCATATGTCCCACATAAGGTACTAGGCACATGCAAAGAATGAATGGAATTGGTCCACAGGATTCTAAAATATGACGCTGGACAGACTAACGCACAAACAGATAGACACACGGACGATCGGACGGACAGACTCAGGAACTCACGGACGGTCAGGGACATGTATCCTACCATGTATGATCTATGTACTAAATTTGAATGAAAACTGACAAAGCATGTCCAAAATACGACATTTTCAAAAAACAAGATGGCTGCCAGTTGGCCATCTTTGATTCAATTGTGAAATAAATCATCATGGACATGTATCCTAACATGTATAATCTATGTACCAAGTTTGAATGAAAACTGATAAAGCATGTCCAAAATACAACATTTTCAAAAAACAAGATGGCTGCCAGTCGGCCATTTTGAATCGAATCGCTAAACCACTGCATGTGCATATGTCCCACATAAAGTACTAGGCACATGCAAAGAATGAATGAAATCAGTCCAAGGGATTCTGAGATACGACTCCGGACGGACGCATGGACGCACAGATGGACGGAGACCAAATTATAAGTCCCCCTTTTTCGGACTTCGTTCGAACGGGGACTAAAAAGTCTTTAGTTATGTTATTTTTCACTCGTCCGGCCCAAAAGAAAACCTATTCGATTTAATCCGGGTTGCGATACGGGCCTTTTTACTGGCGCGATTTTATACGGGGGATTCTAAACGACGCAAACGCATTAACAACTCTCACACAATGTTATCAAACAAACGAATATATCCACAAATTACGTTTTAATGAAACAGCAAATGAACGTAAATTTATTACAATATTTTAATGGTAATAAATACAAAGTCATTAAGAATGAACACTACACAGTCCAGCTAAGTTGGTCATTTACTAACCGTCCGACAGCGTGCGTTTTCTTGGAGCTGATGTTGTAGCCGCAGGTAGAGACACGTTGTTAAAACAGTTGTTAAAGTCACAGTTGTTAAAAACCGTAGTCGGGGAACGAGAAACAATTGCTTGACAAGAAGCAGTTTGGTTTACAGTTCCAGATTCGGGTGTAGCTCGACTAAGAAATGCGCCGATGATCTTCCGTGGAGACAGTCGTCGCAGTCAGCTGGCATCGGTATTGTTGGGTGTATCCAGCGACACCGATGCCAACTGACTGAGTATCGTAGTGCTGTAAACGTGACACGTTTTTGTGACAGTTATCTTTATGATTGGTTGTGGTGGAATGCCAGCTTACGTCAGGGTAATAATGAGTCCATCAGTACAACTGGTCTTTCGGTATATTTCCCATCCATTGCATAATATCGTCAGCCATTGTCGAAGCGCTGACTCAAATTAAACAGAAAGTAGTTCCAGGAAAATAGACGGCGTGATATGGAAAATTATTGCATGGCTCGCGCATCGGGATTCCCATAGCGTTACGAAGCCGGGCAATACGAGGTATATGATAATATATGTTGAGTGATGGAAATGATGGGCATAACAATGGTCAACTTGGTAAATACTGGTAAGCTATATATTCCGATCACTGATGTCTCTGTGTGTGAAAAGTTGTCATTTAATATGACAGAATAAGATTTTAAACCTTCCTTACACTTCTGAGAAGTAATATAACGCAATATGACTTTGAGTGTTCAAAAGCAATAGAAGTTTTATAAATGGGTGCTTCACAACACAAAATGAAATTGAAATATACAAGTGGCTTCAACCAATAAAATCACAATTTATATTGTCAAATGAACTATGACCCCTCAAAATAATGGATAAGCTACTGACTTTACATGTGAAGCAAACATTTTTAAAAATACACACCAAGAGCTTGTTGGTACAGGTAAGTTGTATTGCCAATGATTAGTTACCCTAGAACATTAGTTGACAGTTCGTACCTTGAGCTACACACTGTACATGTGCTATTTTGATTCATAACTGGCCAATACATTGTAAAACACCCAGGAACATGCGCAAACATTCAACTGCATAACATTTAGGAACATGTTTTCATACTTAAAATTTTGCAATTACAGGGGTTTTTCTAGAAAAAATGAGGGAGCACACACAGGCGAGGGAGCAATCGAACTCGAAACGCCATATCGGAAGGTTTCTGTGCCGTTTTAATGGTGTATCTATTGCCATTGAAATATTTTTAAAGTTTTAGTGTATTTGGTGTCCAGACACATTGTCAGCTGGTGTTAAATAAATATATTTGAGTCAAATTTTATGTTCTAAGGCAGCACGGAAGTGAGCGACTCAAGAAATATATTTATGACTTCATGTTCAATCAGCAATTCTGTAAGAGGGCGCCAGCCAAGAGTATCAGGACACTGCGCCCCTGTTCCCCGGTTTAGGAAAACCCTTCAATTAAATTAATTCATCAGGAAAATTAAGAAATCAATAAAGAAAAACTAACCTCCTTGTTCATGAACATCATACACTCTTGAATTGTGATTGGAATAGGGCAGATGTGGATGTGGATGCTGCTTTGCCTGTCAAAAATAAATAGAGACAGTCACATTACAAAAGTTGCAAAAGTTATTACTTATATGAACAAAACCTCCTGTGTCAAAGAACAGTAACGGTAGTTTTGGCATTATTTTTTTTCAATAATCTCTTAGCAACATGGAATGCGATATATCCATTTTAGAAAACTACAAAACGTACCGACATGATTAATGGACGTCGTTATATATTTAATACATCCTAGTTAAATTGTTTGCACTGCTATGAGATAATACTTGATATGCATTTAAGCTAATGCTTTTTATGTAGAAATTCAGGTAATTTATTTTCCAAAATTGATTATTATATTTTATTTTCTGAAAGTTAAGAGAGAAAGTCGTAAAACCAGATACACTATTGATATGCTTACTTAATTCAAAGAAAAAATATATATAATTAAAACATTAAGGATTAGTTTATATATATATATATTTTTTTTCTTTTCATTTCATTTCATTTTATTTTAACTTTCAACATTTAACTTTTATCGATTAAGGATATGTTTATCAATAAAGATTAGTATTATTACTTTATTAGAGAATCATCAAAACAGTTTATACGTATAATATAATGGCTTTTAATCTGTTTTATGCTGACAAACTCATATAATGATCACATTACGCAGGCTTTGAGCAAGCTTTTTCAGTTTTCTTTAAACATAGCACAACTATTACAGCCCTGTCCATTGAGAGCCCAAATCAAATAAATATTACATGAATGAATACTAACTAACAATGAAATATCTTTTCTTTGCATAGCTGAGTGAGTATAAAGATCAGAAAACAATAATGCAATAGTGCAATATTACATCAACATTTTTGCCAGAAAATACTAGCTAAAAGTCAAATTGGAACAATTCTGACCCAAAATTGATTGGCACAATGAAAATCATCATGATATAATAATAATAATATTCACATTCCTCAAATAATACTACATGTATTAATTTACTCTATGTCCTTTGTATGCTGATATTAAATCAAAATATATTGCACTAAACTATCACAAATTCCACACATTATACATATACATTAAAATCTCAAAGACCCATCCACATTAGAAATTTTGGGAGATAGAGTGAATTAAGTATTATATAAACTTGTTTAATGCAATGTACATTTTCTTTTTGTTCGTTTATTTTTGAATGTATTATATATATCATTTTTGCCAATTATTTTGGCACAAATTATGCTGAGTAAATTATTATAATTAAACATTTGAAAAATGACAAACTATTTGTATTTCACAAACTATAATTTCTCTCATACTTTTTTTTAAAAAAATGCTCAAAAATGGGAAATGATTACTAATCAAATGCAATGCATATTGATTGCAAGCACACACTAGCTATCAATTTTTAAATATTAAATATTAACCAATGTTTTGTGTTCAAGTGGTCAAAACACTTGAAATAATTAATGAATAACTTTACTACATGTATTCAACTAATCATTCATATTAACCAAACCTTCAAACCCAAAGGTCAGCTTATGTCATCTCAAACCCGCGCAACTTTTCTGGTTTTCACATGAAAATTTTGATGGAAAATATAGTGCTCAATGGTTTAAGACATTGCTTTCTAGCACGATTGTGATACCTGTGTTCCCAAGTCTTAGCAAAAGCACTGGGTCTATATGACTGTTGTAAAATGTATTTAAATATTTACCCCCCCCCCCCACCAAAGTTTTTCTATTTTTCATAATGTACATTCAGTTTGTAATGTTTTTTTGTTTTGCAATTCTCATTTCCACTGATTGTATGGCAATACCTCCAAAGTAGCCAGGATGTGTGACCTTTGGGGGTCATGAAACGTATAAAGGGAAACAGATATTACAGAGAAAGGCAGAAAAATTCACCTTAGTTTAATAACATATTTATAACAATTTGTAAATATCGTTCATCAGCTTTCATTTAAATTTATTTAAATATTTAATAATGATATCCCAATCTTCTGAAGGAAAGTACAGACTATAAACAGAACTATTTTGTGAATTTAAGAAAAGAGGGAATTGGTTATGAAAAGGTTAAGAAAAGAAAACTACTCGTTTATAGATTACAGCACAACAAACATACACTTACTTCTAGACTAAAAACTATTGTAAAAAGACACCTTGTTGAGTGGATCTGGAATAGGACCAGGTATAATAGGATCAATGGTGTCACATACCTTATTAATTCTCAAATTCCTAACAAAACATTAGACAAGAAGCATATAATACCCCTTATTTTAAATGCTGACTATAATGTAGTTGCAGACTTTTACTTTTGAGCAATTTTACTTCAAACTGAACAAGCAAAATTGAAGGGCACAGGAATAAAATTAGCAAATTATATGCATTATAATTGCATATTTTATATCTACATGCAAAGATAGATAACATAATGGAATTAATTCAGTGTGGACAGGTCAAACTCTAGCCCACTAGACGACTACGCTAGTAGTACCGGGGTAAAGAATGAAAGATGAAATCTAGTGATCACAGTAATTTAAATAAATTGTAAGACAAATGCAAATTGTGTTCGATTGGGGAATTGACGTTTTTTTTTTTTTTCTTTCTAATGTACATGTATTTTTATCACGATGTGTTTTGCACAATTAGGTCAACGTTTCAAGGTTGGGCAACACTGTTTTAGTAGACACCCCCCCCCCCGCCAACAAACGAATCAGAACGAAAATACTAGTTGAGGCTAGATTCACCTGCTAACATAACACAAGGTGTTTTACGATCGACGCTTCCGTGTAAGTCAGCTTGCACAGAAGGCCACACAAACGTATATTTACATATTATGGCAAAGTGAGCACGCCCGATAGTTTAACAGTCAATGACTCGATCGGAGCATGGATGTACATCTATGATCGGAGCAATCGAACCGTAAGTGGTGTATGTTACGTTGACAATATGTGGATCCTACAATCAGATCAATCGATCTAGTCAACAATAACATTCAATTAGACAATACAATGATCAATATTATAGCTCAATGTAAACACGTTGTTACACGAACTAACCTGTGTAATAAATCAATTTCGATAATCCCTTTCACACATTTTTTCTCGTCGTGTGCTCCGCCACAAACATTCCTACCAATTAAGAAATAGACAGTCGTCGTCAACCCGCTGCAGAATTTGAAAGACCTGCAAAATGGCGGTCAAACATTGACAGGTGACTGTTTGACCCCGGACCAAACCACTCAAACAGAGGGGTCGGTATTGGAATGTATTTACATTTACAGTTATAACATCGAAATTGTAATAAATATATGATCACAGTAACATGCAAGAACATGTATATAAGGTCACATGTATATAGTCATAATTATTAGGATAATACCGGCACGTGGTAACATTCGGCGAACTCTCTAAACAGCCCCCTCCCATGACCTCAACTGCCCTCACAATCACATTGCATAGCGCTCAGTTGGGACTGTGTTTGGGATGTCATATGTAAACCGCATTTATTCACAAATTATTATTTTTTAAAATATAAAAATAAATAAATACATGTAATGTTATCTGTCCGATGTTGTTTTAGTGGCAATGACAGCTCAAAAACGCGACCTTTATTCGGATCAAAATGAACTGGGACTATTTTTCCCAATATTCATTTCATGTGCTTGGTTGTTCACCAATTCAGATGTTTTATGTTAAAAACAATGTTCTGTACAAATGATATTATTCACGGGATATGAGGAAAAAACGTTAAATAGAAACGTTTGCGTTTGTAATTTAACTGTTAAGATTACGTCACGTATTACACAACGCTAACAGCTTCACAATAAACCTGGGCGTTTAAACTTACTGAGATAAAATTAGAAAGTTTCGCCTAATTGAATTGGTTCGATGTTTAACACGTTTCCAAGATAAATACTGTACAATGAAGTAAATAAGGATTCCTATTGTCATTTTAGAACATGGGCAAAGTAAGGCAATACTAGTTTGAAAGAAAATGACCTCGTGAACCTGTGGTAATGTCGGAATATATGAAGATATGAGAACAGTTCATGACAATAATTTATTCCAAAAAAAAGAATACAGCGATGTTTCATGATTTTGAAATAAAATGTCAAAAAAAAATCGAAACAATAGTTTGTCAACAAGGCAAAGCGGGGCATGAGAAAATGTTTGTGGCATTTAATTACTACAATGCCCGTTGACCATTAAGACTCCTTGGGAAAGATTATAGCTTCAAAAACAAATCTGTAAACATAATATTTTGGGGAAAAAACACATTGAAAACAATAAAAAATAAAACTATATTTTAAAAAAGGAGAAAAAACAACATCACATACATTTGTTTGAAAAAATCAAGCACATGTTTTTTTACAGCAACGATAACCTCAAAACATATCTAGCTGAAAATCAAGAGAAAGGAAAAAACATTTTGTAGTCTCTCACCCCCTGTCCAGAATGTCAAAAAATGGAAATGCAATTCGACAGTCTCGTCACTGTCTCACTAGAGGGCATAAATACAATCTTCACTCAAAGAGAAGTACATGTATTCCGATATGCTTATGGAAATTACAAATCCGAGTAGACAGCATGCGAAGGATCATTTAAGACGAGAAGACTAGATACAAATAATAAATTTGTCAAAAACTAAACATTTTGTGTCACATAAATATCATGATTATAATCTTTCTGTTTAAATAAGGAATTGTGCCTCCGTCATAATGCTCAACCGAGGCATACACATCCCGTGTATTTCGCCATAGAGTTGACTATACTATATATATTCGATGTACTCTAGAGGACATATTTCCAAAACTGGCTACCATTGTTCAAGTCATACAAATTGTTGAATATAGGAGGGGGTGGCTTCTATAAAGATCGCTCACACACTGACGTATTTAAAGTTTCTTTTATGTACTGTCGTTTTGACGGTATTCTAACCTCATTTGTAAGGTACTGATGTAACTTTCAAGTTCGTTATTTATAACAAGTTCAATGTTATTAAACAAGCAAATATTCAGAAAATACTAATTCAATCTGACTAACCTCGTGTATGTAATAAGTGCCAAACACAGTTACTCTGATATGCAAAGGAAAACAAACAATGATAACAAGCCGGTAGGCTGGTCGGCGATCCGCTCTGCTAAAAAAGCATACAACATGTTTTCGGCTGTTGCCATGGTAGGACATGAACATGAAGCAAACGTCGGTATATAAATAAAACTAGCCTGAGAGCTCCGTATACAAAGTTCGCAAAATGCATTTAGTCTCCAGAAGTCACTTCACTTTAGTACTAACACGTATTTTGATGTCATTATTATTATATTCAAGTGAGTTGACTCTTTAACCTTGATTTCGATAAGAAGGCAACACATTTATTTCCGAACGTTTTGCGATTGTATTATCTAACGCATGATTACAGTTCATTTAAAGTTCTAAGTTACGTTAGAACTTACGTTGATACATTGTAACAATGTCGGTGCCAGTGGCCTCTCATCGGTGCCAACTTTAATACTAGTAGCCAAAATAAAAAGCATGATTATTTCAACATTGCTGTTATAAGACTTGTGATTTACATAACAAAGGATGTTTACAACTCTGGAAGTACAATTGTAATCTACCAGGTGGGCTTGTGATTTCCATAACAAAGATGTTTACAACTCTGGAAGGCAATTGGAATCTACCAGGTGTGCTTGTGATTTACATAAAAAAAGATGTTCACAACTCTGGAAGGAGATTGGAATCAAACAGGTGTCCTTGTGATTTACATAACAAAGATGTTTACAACTCTGGAAGGACAATTGTAATCCACCAGGCGGGCTTGTGATTTCCATAACAAAGATGTTTACAACTCTGGAAGGAGATTGGAATCAAACAGGTGTGCTTGTGATTTACATAAAAAAGGTTGCTACAACTCTGAAATGACAATTGGAATCTACCAGGTGTGCTTGTGATTTACATAAAAAAGGATTTTTACAACTCAGGAAGGAGATTGGAATCAAACAGGTGTGCTTGTGATTTACATAACAACGGATGTTTACAACTCTGGAAGGAGATTGGAATCTACCAGGTGTGCTTGTGATTTACATAAAAAAGGTTGTTTACAACTTTGGAAGGACAATTGGAATCTACCAGTGTGCTTGTAATTTACATAACAACGGATGTTTACAACTCTGAAAGGAGATGGAATCAACAGGTGTGCTTATGATTTACAAACAACGGATGTTTAAAACT